GAGGGAGTTTGAAAACTATCTGACCAACGATATGTATGATAATGGCTCCTAGCAAAGAACACCTTTCAGTATTTTTTTTTCCCCCAACTACAACATTTTACCTCCCATGTTCCATTTACCTCAGGAGTAGCAGCCACTGATGAGACAGTCCAGTATTCTGTGAGACAGAAGCTCTCATCTGTGAAACTGTAAAACACTAACAACGACTTTATGCTGACTTTGATCTGATGAATCTCTCAGATACTCCACACCACGGCCTCTTCAAGTCCTAACACAACACTTAAGATACGAGTGATGGTTCTGAGAAGCCCACACAGCCGACCAGAGAAGACCCCGACCTTCATTCCTGTGGAGGTTTGAACAAACTACCATCAAACCTGGTTCGATTCTCTCTGTCCTCTGTCCCTCTCTCTCACCTGTGTATTTGTAGTTATAAAATGAGCTGGTGTGAAAAGGTTAGCCAGACACTATCAGAGAACATGTGGCTAATATAAGTTAGCATGCCAGGTCACAACTGTTCTACTGGCAGCACAGCCAGCCACGACCCCCATCCCAACCCTAGAAACAGCACGCTGCACTTTTACCAGCTCTCAAGTCGTCCAGCACACACACTCCTCTGGGTTACTGAGACACACCGCATGTGGAGTAGAGACTGAACTCTGGCTGGGAAATAGGCCACGCTGAAGACAGACGTTGGAGAGGAAAGTGCTGAGCCCAGAGTTTATTTCAGTCCTGGCTGAGGAAACGTGCATTAGGAGTTAGAGAAGTTTAAATCATTTCTATTCTATGTCAGGGGTTGATTGAGGGTTAGGACATGGATTTGAGATTTTCATACAAGGTATTTTCAATTATTATTTTTGAATTGTGTCTTAAAGTCATTGGAGAAGTCCTTCAATTGAATCACAATTTTGTACCATCTCATGTTTGACGTGTGGTCTGACAATATCACATCCTTGAATCGTCCAAAAAACGTATGGACATTTTCATATTAATAACAGAAACTGAAGGAGGTCTGAAAATTATCCAAGATATGATCAGTTAATTGTCACTACATCAATGGAAAACAATCTCTACTTCTCTTCGGGAAACAATATTCCAACGAATTGTGTTTTTTTTTTCAGAATTCTCTTATAATTCAATTTCCCCCCTAAAATATCTTACAACGTTATTCCTCCCTCTTAAATCTAGGTTACACTGGATGTTTCTTGAGCCTTTACGTTGCCGAGATAAAAGTAAATTCCTGAAGTCACGATAACAGATTTTACTCCCACGGAGCAATTGAACTTATGACAAGTCAAAAAACAAACATTTCAGCATTTCTTTTAGGGCAGAAATGACTGCCTTCTGCGTTCTGCTGTTAACTCATACTCATTTTCCAGGGTGCCTTGAACGCACCATCATGTACCACGTGCACATTTTGTTCCGTTCTGTCATTAGGAGCAGGCCGGGATTTTGCCGTGAGCGTGTTCTGCTCCGGGTAGTTGGTAGGTTTTGGCGTTTGCTGTGGCCCTAATTGGTTAGGGATCAAAAACCCCGTATCGAGGTGGATTCGTTAGTTTCCATTAGTCGAGGAGCAAGTGCGCATTGCTATTCAGTGTGACCGCAACTGAGGCGCTTAATTAGTTTCTGTTCTCTATGAAAACGGAAGAAGTGATTAAAGTCTTTTAGATATAAACCTCACTCTAAACCATTCCCACCGCGACCACCGTCCTCGTCTTCCAAAACACCTTATAAACGGCAACAGTTTCATCTCCACCTAAATAACACTGACCGAAGAACGGGCCGAGCAGATGGAGCATGGCGGCCATGTTTAAAATGCTAAATGTTTTAACGTCTGGTTTTTCTAGGAAAATTTACACACAAAAAAAAGTGCCATGTGTTGATTAGCACAGCTGTGTTTGTTTCTTTAGGCAGCAGCAGCTGCGGCTCATTAATAGAAAGTGATCAAGTCTTGTGGTTCACGGCGATGAGCGAAAAAAGACCGAGGCACAAGAATGAACCAACCAACTGGTGTCGAGTTTGGGATTTTAAGTAAAGCACAGCTGTTTCTTTAAAAAAAAAAAAAAAAAAAAAAAAAAAAAACTTAAACGATAGCAACAATTAGCTCAGCATCACCAGCAGGGGTTGTTTAAAGCAACTTAAAT